GGCCTAAATGTGAAAATCAAACTTGACAAAGTTCGACATGTTTTTGTACATGGTGGACGGTGTGGCCTTTATTTACGGAGGTAGTCCAATAAATTGGCCACATTTAAGGGGCTAATTCAATGTTATTCTTCAAGAAATACTTACGGGAATATCAAAAGAGCAGTTTTCCTACCTCCAAAGTCCATGAAGTCCAGGGTACTTCTTGCAAATAATTGAGATGAGCACATGTCATGCATGTCATGTGTGTGTTTTTGTTTTTACCATTTGGTGCAAGAGGGCGCTGTTAATAAGAAAACTGAGCGAAGGGTAGCGAACGGGTGTCACGTGCAAATTAGTAGCAGACGGCAGTTTAAAAGTTTTTGAAGGTTCAATTTTTTAGTTTTTTGTTTTTCTGTTACCAGAGATACAGGTTATGTTTTTCTGTAATGGCTGGGCAGACCAAACGCGGACATCCGCTTTTCTTTTGTCAGAGCAGCAGAAAATTAGATCCGAACAATTAATTTGCGTCTGGGTGATGTAAATTCAATATTAGATCCAAACAAGGCAATTATTGCCATCAAACACATTGCAAATCCACCGGTTCACACAAACAGCACTACGTACGCCACTTTATTCGTCCCGAAGAGAGACTGGAATTTAAGAACAAAATTGGAAAACTTCACCCTTTGCATGCCAACAAATCAATACTACTCTCATCACGGTGGAGGTTTAGGTTTTTTGGAAGACAAGTAGCTATAGGCTTACTCCCCCCCCCCCCCCAAAAAAAAACCCTCGAGGATTTCAAGAAAATGAGAAAAGTTGAAATATATTTTCAGCAGGTTTCAGGAAACAGAAAGGCAGAAGATTACATTTACAATGTAATTCGTATTGTGTTTGGTATTAACAGCCCAAAACAAACAAAACAAAACAAAATCATTTACCTGAATTGCTAAAAAGAATAGATTTACCTCATTTAAATGCAATAATAATTATAGTACACCTCAACCAACAATGGTGGGTATCGACCGGATGATGATGAGACGAAATATTAAAAGGGAGCGAAAGTTCATTAAACAATTAACAGGTGAAGAGTCCCACAGCTGACGTGCTTACAATTGTTGCGTAAATTGGAGGTAAACAAGCTCGTGAAAATTTCTTTGGTAAAAGTCAAATGTAGGCCTAGGCCCAAGCAGTGACAGACGCGGTCTCGATCTGATCGGACAGTGCTAGAATCCTTGGGTTTTGGGGACTGTTTTCTTATTATATCACCAAATTTTTCGTTTTGATGCTTTTTTAGCACCCGGCAATAAATCGGGGGTTCAACATTTAAAAACTTCGATAAGTGTATCTACACTCTTATCAAAAAAAACCACACGAGCAAAATAGACTAGCAGAACTCGCAGGGGCAAAAAAGACATTTTATTACGATTTGAAATGTAGATTTGTGAAAATTCGCCCGAAACAAAATTAAAATTGCACTTTGTTAAACGAGCACTATTTCAGAACTTTTAATATTGTTTTCTTCATCGTAGAAGTTTAACCAAAGCATGTTTTGAAATGTTCTCCGACATTTACTTAAAATAAAAAGCAGAAGCGTATATGATCGTTTGGTTTTTACCCTTAGTTTGTTCGTTTCCAATAATAACACTCAAACTCCAAAGAAGACGGTTCAAAACCTAACCTGTTGAAGTTTCAGCTCAGTGGACATTATGCCTATACTTTTCGAGAAAACAGTGTGGGGGGATGCACAACTGGAACCTTTTGTTCACGAAACAAAAGACGATTTCGTCAGTAGAAATCTTTATTCCAAAACTTATAGTCAATTGTTGGATCTTTGGAAATCACCTATACATACATTTCTCGATTTCTTCGGGGTGTTTAGTATATACGATCTTTAATCCAGTCAAGGGCATCAATAGCTTCTCGATAGTTGGGTAGGCGGGGGGGGGGGGGGGGGGGGGGGGGGCATACCTTAATTAGAACCAATGCGAAGCGCGAAGCCCCTTATGGCGTGGCCGGGGTTCGGGCCCCGAACAACTTTTGGAATCTAGATGCTCTGTGGTGCAATCTGAGGCAATTTCTGACCACTTCAGCAAAAGATCATCATTAATTTTAAACATTCGAGTTTTGAGTCATTGAATCAGCTATTCTGAGCTATAGAATCAAATGTAGGCCTAGGCTACAATTTGTATTCGGCGACGAGAAAAAAAGGAGGGGGTGTGCAGCTGACAGTGAAGGAAACATTAGAGTTCCTCACACAGGAGCAACGAATTTCACCCAAGACTGACAAAAATAGAGCTGCCTTTACCATTGAATACGTTTATTCAGTTACATTAATTGACTAAATTTGTTCAAACCCGAACGCGATCCTTTTCAGGGCCAACACATTTTCCAAAAAGATCTAAGAATCTTCTGGACGCTCCCCCCCCCCCCCCCCTCACAGCTGCCTGCATCTTTTGTTTTTCTCTCCAGGGCTTTTGACGTCTTTCTTTACGTAAGGACTCTTTCCACAAATTTAGTGAGAGCTCTTTTGCAGATTTTATTATCCCTCTAAATAGTGCCAAGTATAGTGCCCCCTTGATTTGCTTGTGATCCCTGCACGACACTAAGTCTTCAATGAAGATAATAATAATAGTGGGTATTTATAAAGCGCACGTATCCACCAGGACTGGTGCTCAAGGCCCTACATCATTATTACCCCTGCGCATTGGGCCAATGAAACATTCCAAATACCATCTCAGCTCCCTGGGGAGTATACAGCTCGATGATGCCTGTTAGGAGCGAGGAAGCTAATTCAATCACAATAACCATCTCTGCCCTCACAGGTACCCATTTACTCCTGGGTGGAGAGAAGCAATGAGTGACAAAGTGCCTTGCCCAAGGGCACACGCACCATAACCCCAGGCTGGACTCGAACCCACAACCCACAGCTTTACCTGCAGACGACGAATCCAATGCCCTTAACCACGAGGCCACAGCACTCCACTTCAATAAAAATAGGGGAAATTATATATTATCTGTGACTATACATCCATTTATACTACTTCAGAGGCATGAGCATCAGCATAAAAAGGATCAAGACATAATTATTATTATTATTATTTATTCGACCCAAACTATATGAAGTTACAAAGTGAAATTAGAAGGAAAAACACAAAATAAAAACACTCGGGATTAAATAAACGGGACCACCCCCCCCCCAGAAAAAAAAACACCCAGAAAAAATATTACAAATGAATATAAACTAATAAAAATATGCAATCATTTAAGGAACTCTAAGAACCAACTAATTAATAAGATACAATTAATTAAGAATTAGTTAATAATTGATAATTAATAGAACGACATGAAAGCACATTAGTAACCACTGATTAAAATAACAATCTTGAGTGTTGGACATATGTATTCAGGCAAGTTTGCCATTTTTGTATAAGGTAAAGATGAGATCATTAGTATTTCAATCATATCGAATTAAAAGTCTTAATTCAAACTTAAAAAATCGACTATTCCAAGTGATTTGGAAGCATGAACCAATTTTAACATTTTAAGTGAAAGACTAGACTGGTGCCATGTATGTCCAACTTGAAAAAAAAGGACTGAATATTAGCAGACTGGATGCAAGGCTGCGAAAAGAGATTCCAGAGAAACCTATGACAAGATTTGAAACATGTTACAGACCAGTACTAATAGACCTTATGCATTAGGGGGGAGTTAGAGGGCAATGGTTTGGTATTGCTTGGCTAGGCATGAGTCTACCTTTTGTGTATTCATTGTTACTAGATTAAAATAACAACGAACAGCCTCTGAGATGCCTGTGATGCATGAGGTCTATGTGTTGGACTTCAAGCAAAAGATTTAGGTTTCTCAGTGCACGGTATTCGAGAGTATAAAGTCACAGTAAAGTGGCTTGCTCAAGAACACAAGCACTATGCAAACACTAGGCTGGGTTAAGAATACCAATCAGAAATTTGGCAACATTGTAAGCCTGCATATGAGCAAAGTGACGTGTTCATGTTCAAAGTCTCATTCAAAGCCCCTTTGACTATACATCACTGCCAGACTTCAATCTGCAATGGCTAACATTTCTTAGAAAAAAGTAACATCAATTTTGACTCGCATTTTGTAAAACAGCGAAAATTGTAAGTATAAAAAAATACATCTTTAAAGGGAATATACATCATTTGCTTTTGCTGTAATTTTCAGAAATGGGTGGAATTGGGGGGTTGGAAATATATAGCAAATTAAGTTACACTTACTTTTTTGAGGTTTTGGGTTAAAAAAATGCCATAAAAACCAAGAAAAAACAATCATTTTCCTGTAGTCTGGTTCCCTGACTCCATTGAAGAAGAAACAGAGCAGTTTACATACATTGGGGAATTGTAAGGTCAGGGAACCAGTCTAGCTGGCTTGTACCCGTTCATAGTGTGTGTAATCGATTGCAAACAAGTGCGATGGTCAATTGGGGCCAGTATTTGAAAAAAGCCAGTTTTTTTTCCAACGATGATCGGCCGATCAGTGTTGGAAATTGATACAAAAATGGCACTTTTCTTGAAAGTGACAGTATACCAGGTGCCATGATTTTACAGGATGCTTTACACTGTCATTCACTAACAGTCCAGCAAGGTATTTCAAAATGATTTGGTAGTTTTGTTTTTTGATGTTTGCAAATGTTGTATTTTCCCTTTAAGATTAACAAAGTCATTATTTTTGTTCAAAGGCATTTTGGCAGGATGTAAGATGAATAAAACACTGCTGTCATGCTTCAGTCAAATTACAAACCACATCATGGATTTTCTACATTGTAACTGCTATACACTTCGAAAAGACTTGTAGAAACTTCAGAAAATTGTGTTGTTTTTGAAATTGTGCAACTTAAAGTAAATCACGTTTAAAAATTTCACATAATATCTACAAGCCTACATTTTGTGCAAGTTCACAATTCTACAACAAAAACATTCTTAATTAAGTTTTCTTTTGAACTTAAAAACATTGCAACAATTGGAATATTAAGTTTTCTTTTGAACTTAAAAACATTGCAACAATTGGAATATCGCAACAATTGGATCGTATGGAAGATTGCAAAAACTGCATCTTATGGAAAATTGCAACAATTTGGATCCTACAGAATAACAAACAATTGGATCTTATGGAAGAATATTAAAAATAAAATCTGAGATGGTGACCATCCGACCCATGGAATGACCCAACTTCTTGTGACCTCAAAACCCTCATCATGAAGTAGTTTTCATGTTTTTTTTAACCTGATGACAAACTGAAAGAGGAGTAATCGTTAATTGCTGTTTTGTGCCCCATTTATATTATTTTGAATCTTTCCAGTCAATTTGTTTTTGCTAATTTCCAAATTTTGTATGAGCAAAACAGTGAAGACATCTTCAGCATGAAGCTTTAGCGTTACAGCATGAAAGTCTAATTTCTGACAATACGACATAGGAAGACCATATGCCTTTGTTGTTAACATTCGCAAATGTCAGCAGAAAACAGTCTGTCCCACATGAGCAAAAGCTGCTAACGCTGGCAAACGTAAGCTATTGTTTACATATTACCCCGGGTCTTACTGCCTATAGGAAGAACAGCCGGTCAGCCAACTCAATCCGGGGCTCTTTGTGCAGGCTTTGGCCAACAAGGAAAGATAGCTTGTGAGCGTAGAGGCAGGGTGCTGGTACACGAATGGTTCCCTGCAAAACAACAGAAGAAACAGACAAGATGAGTATGGAACTAGACACTGAACTCTATAATTACTGTACTGTCTTATGACCTGTGTATACTGAAGCAGCCGTCTTCCATCTTTGTTCCCTCATGACATGTCTTATGACATTGCACATACTGAAGCAGCCGTCTGCCATCTTTGTTCCCTCATGACATGTCTTATGACATTGCACATACTGAAGCAGCCGTCAGCCATCTTTGTTCCCTCATGACATGTCTTATAACATTACACATACTGAAGCAGCCATCTGCCATCTTTGTTCCCTTATGACATGTCTTATGACATTGCACATATACTGAAGCAGCCGTCTGCCATCTTTGTTCCCTAATGACATGTCTTATGACATTGCACATACTGAAGCAGCTGTCTGCCATCTTTGTTCCCTCATGACGTGTCTAATGACATGCGCATACTGAAGCAGCTGTCTGCCATCTTTGTTTCCTCATGACATGTCTAATGACATGCACATACTGAAGCAGCCGTCTGCCATCTTTGTTCCCTCATGACATGTCTTATGACATTGCACATACTGAAGCAGCTGTCTGCCATCTTTGTTCCCTCATGACGTGTCTAATGACATGTGCATACTGAAGCAGCTGTCTGCCATCTTTGTTCCCTCATGACGTGTCTAATGACATGCGCATACTGAAGCAGCCGTCTGCCAGCTTTGTTCCCTCATGACATGTCTTATGACATGCACATACTGAAGCAGCCGTCTGCCATATCCTTGTTCCCTCATGACATGTCTTATGACATGCACGTACTGAAGCAGCCGTCTGCCATCTTTGTTCCCTCATGACATGTCTTATGACATTGCACATACTGAAGCAGCCATCTGCCATCTTTGTTCCGTCACGACGTGTCTTATAACATTGCACATACTGAAGCAGCCGTCTGCCATCTTTGTTCCCTCATGACATGTCTTATGACATTGCACATACTGAAGCAGCTGTCTGCCATCTTTGTTCCTTCATGACATATGTCTTATAACATTGCACATACTGAAGCAGCCGTCTGCCATCGTTGTTCCTTCATGACATATGTCTTATGACATTGCACATACTGAAGCAGCCGTCTGCCATCTTTGTTCCCTCATGACATGTCTTATGACATTGCACATACTGAAGCAGCCGTCTGCCATCTTTGTTCCCTCATGACATGTCTTATGACATTGCACATACTGAAGCAGCCGTCTACCATCTTTGTTCCCTCATGACGTGTCTTATGACATTGCACATATTGAAGCAACCGTCTGCCATCTTTGTTCCCTCATGACGTGTCTTATAACATTACACATACTGAAGCAGCAGTCTGCCATCTTTGTTCCATAAGGACCTCCAGTTTTCCTCCCTCTGCAAAAATCAACACTTTGGATCTCTGGCTGTGCTCCGTGGTCAGACATGGGTCATACAGCGGCATTCTAAGGTGCCTTTACATGCCTTTGGCAAGACCACCTTGTAGCTACGTGCATTACAATTCGGGCGATTCACAATGCAGTGCGCCACCAAGAATTTGCCACGGAGAGTTCATTTTCCCAGTGCATTGTGGGAGATGGTCGACAAATTCGCAGCGCGGGACATTAGAAATTGGTTTTTTTTTCGGTCAGTGGTTTCGTAAGCGTACGATTCGAGGCACTGTTTGTTATTCCTTTTCTTGTTATCAATATGGTGTTTTTTGTAAGGCGGCAGAACGCGATGCCCCAATCTATGACATATTAGCTCAAGTTGTCTACTGACACTTATTCAAATGGGCCATGTTTTGTTGACCGCAAAACTTGAAAAATGGACTCTCGGTGGCCAACTCTTGATGGTGCACTGCATTGTGAATGGCCGAATTCAGCTCATGCTACGAGTAAGGACATTTAGCCCCCCATATATATAGGATAGTCACAGTGCTTTGGAATGCCGTTCATAACTTGCCCCGCTCCTTACCGGCCAATTGAAGTAGAGATGGGTGAGCTTGTAGGTCAGGCTTTGCATGCTGTCTGGTGCCAGACCCGAGTTGTCCCAGATCACATTGTAACTGGTTGGAGTGACCGTGCCCTGGCGTACAGACTGACTGACAAGGAAGAAGTCGTATCTGTGGACACAAAATGGAGACCAGTCAGAGTGATACATACAGTCAAAATAAATGTTAATAGTTTCAGCAGGCTTCATACTTCAATATCTACTGGTGATTGTTGGATCCAGCAGGGTCATAAAAATACTCGGAGCAGGGTTAGGGTTGGCTGCATGGACTCAACCATTTCTTTAAGGGGAAAGATCGCGCAAAAGTGAGGCGTAGATATGGCGCGTTGTTGTACAGGCACTGCACTCTATACCGCCATGTTTGGGGGTCTACCGGAGGCTAATTAATTTGCCTATTCCAAACTGGCACATTTTGAATGGGCACTGCACTAGTAGTCTATAATATTAACAGAATAAACTGATGATTTTCAGAAGTTTTTTAGTTTTTGTTAGTTACAGTGTGCAGGGATAATAATTTGTTTTCTGTTTGATTTTTTTAAATGAGTTGTTTACTTACAAGTCTGGTTTGGTGACCACCGAGTCGATCACCGTTCCTGGGGATGGGTTGACGAGATTTCCTTGGTTCAAGGAGCAAAATCTATTGTTGATTCGCTTCTTAACGACGACCACAGCGCACTTAGGGCTGTACACAAACAATCAAAGACAACATTGGGACAGTCTTGTCTATCATGACATGAGACACTAGTAAACGGCACTTCTATGACAAAAAGTAAAATGTAACGGGAATACAATATGAGGCAACAACACAGATAAACCGTGTCACATATTTTGTGGTGCTGGTAAGTATACATTTTGTGCAGCAAGTTAGCATTCTTATTAAAAAAATTGAGCTGAGAACCTCACACCAAGTGACCTTTTTTTGGTTATTCCTTTATTTTTTACAATAAGCCAAATTGTTCTCTGCACTCAAGGAAATTTCTGGCCTTTGCAGCTCTGAACATGGCTACAGGGCCCAGATTAACAGAATTTACAAAGCACAAATTTACTCAGCAAACAAATAATTGACTAGTACTAGACTGTTACCAGCTTAAAATGTCACATCATGTAGAATCGTAAATTGATGCAAATCTAATAGTCCAAGAGACCAGAGAGGTTTAATTAGAATATCGGGCACAAAAGGTTTGATGGTGGCAGCGAGTTTGTTTCTGCATTCAACAGAGGACAATGAACAATAGAGGACAATAGGGTCCCCAATTCCCGAGAGGTTCCCTATTTGGATTCGGGTACAAAACATATGGGAGGTCATCCTAAAAAGTTAGTACAAACAAAAGAGGACAATAGGGGGTCCCCGATTGCAGGCAAATACACACTTGTGTGAGTAGGCGTGGGTTTCTGATCTTCAGAACCGTCATTCTTAAGTGTCGCATTCCGTGCAACCTCCGAGATCTAAATTTTGGGGTTGGGTTTCTTTAACAGGTACCTGGGTACCCATGTTTTTTTTTCAGTCGGGTACCTGATTCCCAAAATAGCACACCCTACTTTTCAGCCACAGTTCACGTTCATAGTAGATTGTGTCATACCTTTGATGACATCAAAGCTACATTAAGCTCCTGGTGCCTTCCGCCGTCATAGTTTAGGCTGCTGTGGTTTAGCTTCACGAGATGGTAATCTCTCCATAAGCCCAGCCCAAGCCTTCTCCACCTAAGATACAATCAAATGGATAGACAATGTACAACTTATGTCAACATGGTTTTAATGAAATCGCTGTGGTAAGAGGGGAGGTACGGTACTTTTTGACTTGTGCACCAACTTTGATAGAGAGTGTTTCCAAAATGCTATATCCGTTTGAAAAATGTGAAAAACTGCACGGTTATGACAAATTTATATATAACAGCCATAATTTCTGAACTACGTTTTTATGTATTCTTAATTAACCCTCCTGCTATATGAACAGTCACAGACAGTCAAAAACTAAATCCTCTTCCCCTGCCAAGCCTTTTACACAGTCAGATCATAATAATTTCAAGCAAGCACAGTGACTAGTCATAATTACAGTCAACAGAAAAAGACAAGTGGTAGGCACAGCTGGCTTAAATCAATCACCTACAGTCAAGGCATAGCTGTATCAAGTTACATAAACAGTCTCAGCCAGTCAATCCTGCTTTATGTAGGCTGGAATCTCTTAACTGTTGAAAAACCATTGATTTTGACTGAAAGGACAACTTGGCTCAGAATGTATGTGGAGGGTTAATAAGCAATCACAACTGGCTTTGGGCAGCCAGGAGAGGGCGGGATTCCAAAAGGAGATGAAAAAGCATTTGCAGCATTTTTGGAAAACAAAATTCTTCACATATGTTTGAAATCCTGAAAGAAGAAAAATGTCTTTAATTGCCAAAAAGTATCGCCCAGGAAAGTACATGTATTAAATGACTATTTTTAAGCACATTAAAAACAGCACTTGCAAAAATTGGAGTTTATTTTTTTTGGAGGGGGTTCGATCCCTCTCCTGTCCCCAACTTTTGTGTGAATTGATGGATTTTGTAAAAGGTAAAAAAAAAGTAATTGAAGGGCTCAACAAAAAAAGGCTAAACCCGACTTGTACCTGCTTCTGAGTGACCTCTGGCTCCAAGAAGGTGCAGAAGACGACATTGGAATGATCCACACGTTCCTGGTTACTGAGCTGGGATTCTATGCGCTGTCGTGCCTTCTCCTCTGGTACACGATCCCTGTCTAGAATACGCTTCAAGGCCTGGCAAAAAAATAAAATTGAAAGAAGATGAAAAAAAATAAACTACAAGGACCATGTCACCAAAGTAAAAATGCAGAAACAAATCTTACTCCAGTTATAATTTACACATGTTGAGAAGCTGAGTATCACATAATGAGAATGGAGTGTAATTTCAGAGTGACTGAGAAGTGCACATGACTGTTTTCATTGTAGTGAATGATTCATGTCCATTTAAAAAAAAAATTGCACTAAATATGGGCTAGTCCAATAATAACACTGTGTGCAAAGATGCTCAAAGGAGCGTGGTCTTGTCATAATGAATAAGGTGCGACCTATCTCATCCTTATGAATAATGCATGACCACAACTTATAGTAGAGCTAATCCACCCAAGCTTCACTCATCAATGGAAGGCGTGACTGTCCTCATCCTTGCGAATTATGTATGACCACAGCTCATAGCAGAACCCAGCCCATCCATCTTCAATCTCCTAATTGGGGGTGTGACTCACCTCATCCTTATGAATAATGCATGACCACACCTCATGGCAGAATCCATCCCAGCTGGCCTCAATCACCCAATGAGAGGCATGACTCACCTCATCCTGATGAATAATGCATGACCACACTCACGCCATAACCCATCCCACCCAACTTCAATCACGAATGGGAGGCGTGACTCACCTCATCCTTATAAATAATGCATGACCTTGCACATCTCATGCCATAACCCATCCCACCCAGCTTCAATCATCCAATAAGAAAAGTAGCTCACCTCATCATAATGAATGAGACGCGACCTATCTCATCCTTATGAGACCACAACTTATAGTAGAGCTAATCCACCCAAGCTTCACTCATCAATGGAAGGCGTGACTGTCCTCATCCTTGCGAATTAATGAACACAGCTCATAGCAGAACCCAGCCCATCCACCTTCAATCTCCTAATTGGGGGTGTGACTCACCTCAATCCTTATGAATAATGCATGACCACACCTCATGGCAGAACCCGTCCCATCCCGCTTCAATCAGCACGGCTGCATCCAGCACACACACCAGGCATCCTTCATCACCTCCAGGACCCTCATCTCCTCCTGAACCATGCTGGCAATCTCCGGCCAGACGATCTGGTTCAGCCGGTCCAGACGGGATCAGTCTTGGAAGACTTTGGCGCCGAGAGCACGCCTGTTGACAAATGGTTGATGCTTCCATCAGCCCCAACATCTGCAGAACAAAAATATGTTTACACTTTGATGATTGTAAAATAATCCACTGACAAATATCCAGCCCAACACAGCACAAGATTTTTTGACAGTCCCAGAAAGGTCCAGCCTAAGTCCTTTTTATACCTCACAGACTCACTAACTGACAGTCACTCGTGAATTAGCCTGGCTATTTATCTCACTGACTGACTATCCCTTATGACTTTAATACACTAGTCTAGGAGCAGCTTTATAAGGCTTGTCTATTCATTTAAGTCATGTTCCATCTTCAGTGTAATTCATCGAACAAGATTAGAAGCCATTTTCTAGTGGTGCCATGCCCGCGCACACGAAGCACGCTTTCTTAAAGATGAGACGCGTGTGCATTGGTAGCTCTATTGGTCCAAGGACCCCTGAGTGCGTGCATACTACCTGAGCGCTACTCACACGAGCCTGGTGCTACCGCTGTGCCACCTCAGAAAATGACTGTCGTTGCATTAGTGGATACAAGATGTCCATTAGTCTGGCACAGCTTGTTATTTGTAACTTCATGATACATGTGTTTGCAGTAAGTCAAGTCTCCATGCGAGGACCGACAGTGGATCTCTCATTTCCATCACGTAATACCACTCCAGCTTATTCTACAAACTTTTCAGCCATTTTCAATCCAATGAACGGGAGGTTTGCGGTAACACCATGTGAATGATATCTCTTTTGAGTTGTGTGGTTCTGAGAAGAACCAGTTGTTTAACTTGACCTTTCGAACAGTATGCTCTGTTCGTCCTCAATCTCCTGTCGACAAACAGAGCACACTATTCCAAACGTCGAGTTAAACCAACTGGTTCTTAAGTAAGATTTGAGGCGTTGCATGGAGGAGATACTAATGAATGAAAGGTTTGCAGAAACACCATGTGGGAATAATTTTTTCAAACTTTCAAACCAACTGGTTCTTCTCAGAACCACACAACTTAGAGAAAACCACTTTTTGTTTCATTTTTGCAAACCACTCATCTTCATTTACTCAAAATGCTACAAATACAACATTTCACTGCAACAAAAACCCAATGAAAATCAGTGCTCTATCCTTATTTTTCTTCTATCTTATCTTTTACTAAAATGTCTTTTAAATAAGAATACTTACACCTCTGTTTTTATTAGAATTATTTAATATAAATCCACTGGTTTGAGAAGCATATTTAATTGAAGTTTAAAGGTAATGGACACCATTTTGCTGACTCAAGGAACAACAATTTAATAATTCTGAAAGCAGTTTATTGAACAAAACTAATTTGTTGAAATTTCAGCTCAGTAGATATCGTACTTTTTGAGAAAACTTTGAAAAAATGCGTCGTCACTTTTCAAAGCATAGGTTTCCATTGGATAGCATGATGGTTTGGAAATGATGGCAATTTCTCTTCTCAAAAATGGCAGCTTAGTAGCCACAATGATTTCACAGGACGCTTGATCCTATTATTTACTTACAATCGAGTAGGATATTTCATGATGCTTTGACAATTTCATTTTTGAATCTTTGCAAATGGTGTCCATCACCTTTAAGTCTCGATACTATTTATTTAGTATTTTCAATAATTTTGTTTGTAATTCCACCTTTAATTCAATACTTGGCTACAAAATGTGAATTTTTAAGTAATAAACCATCAATGAATGGAAAATAAAATGCACTACAAAAAGTGGTCTCTTCATGGAAACCTGACAGAGCAACTGTTTTGTGAATGGTTTATATTCTGTGGTTAGCATAGCCATACAACGAAACCTTGACACTCCGCAGAAAAGGGTTTCACTTTTAAAAACTCACCATGGTTTGCTTGAGCAGTGTTCCCAGGAGTCCAATCCTTTGTGTTGAGGAACTTATCTTGGCTTCTTCATGTGCAGCATGATTGATGTCCTCTACTAGAGATATCTCATGTATGTCTAGTACACACAGACCCTGAATGCAACATGAATGCAACACTGCATTACTCACCTTGGGTTGCTTGAGCAGTGTTCCCAGGAGTCCAATCCTTTGTGTTGAGGAACTTATCTTGGCTTCTTCATGTGCAGCATGATTGATGTCCTCTACTAGAGATATCTCATGTACGTCTAGTACACACAGACCCTGAATGCAACATGAATGCAACACTGCATTACTCACCGTGGGTTGCTTGAGCAGTGTTCCCAGGAGTCGAATCCTTTGTGTTGAGGAACTTATCTTGGCTTCTTCATGTGCAGCATGATTGATGTCCTCTACTAGAGATATCTCATGTACGTCTAGTACACACAGACCCTGAATGCAACATGAATGCAACACTGCATTACTCACCGTGGGTTGCTTGAGCAGTGTTCCCAGGAGTCCAATCCTTTGTGTTGAGGAACTTATCTTAGCTTCTTCATGTGCAGCATGATTGATGTCCTCTACTAGAGATATCTCATGTACGTCTAGTACACACAGACCCTGAATGCAACATGAATGCAACACTGCATTACTCACCTTGGGTTGCTTGAGCAGTGTTCCCATGAGTCCAATCCTTTGTGTTGAGGAACTTATCTTGGCTTCTTCATGTGCAGCATGATTGATGTCCTCTACTAGAGATATCTCATGTACGTCTAGTACACACAGACCCAGAATGCAACATGAATGCAACACTGCATACTCACCATGGGTTGCTGGAGCAGTGTTCCAAGGAGTTCAATCCTTTGTGTTGAGGAACTTATCTTGGCTTCTTCATGTGCAGCATGATTGTTGTCCTCTACTAGAGATATCTCATGTACGTCTAGTACACACAGACCCTGAATGCAACATGAATGCAACACTGCATTACTCACCGTGGGTTGCTTGAGCAGTGTTCCAAGGAGTTCAATCCTTTGTGTTGAGGAACTTATCTTGGCTTCTTCATGTGCAGCATGATTGATGTCCTCTACTAGAGATATCTCATGTACGTCTAGTACACACAGACCCTGAATGCAAAATTTTAAAAAGGGATTTTCAAAGCCTGATAATAGTCAGCGGCGTAGCCAGTGTTTTCATCCTGGGGGGGGGGGGGGGGGCTTGATGTTACAGTGAAGGGACGCCCAATTTAATCTGTACTGAAAGGTAGACAGGATTTTTTTTTTCCACCGGACACCCGGCCTTTGTAAAATCAAAAAGTGGGGGGGGGGGGGGGGGGGGGGGGGGGGGGGGGGGGGGGGGGGGAAGGGAACATATAAATAACAGTCCAAGTTTTCTTCACCTTTGTTCCCTTGTATGATTTCACTTTTTGGGGGGGAGGGGTGGGGTGCATTTTCATCTCTTTTTGCTTTTTTTGATTGGTATTGCTTCAATGATTTGAAGGTACCGGTAGTGTATATCATTTTTGTAATTTTTTCATTTGAAGCAACAAAAGTGCTCAAAATGTAAAGAAGGGTGCTTAACAACTAACCTGATGAAGTTTTAGCTCAGTGAATGCTGTATATTTTGAGAAAACAATATTCTAGGATCTCGATTTCAATCCAAAAGTTGCTGAGTCATGTTTTGAAGTGCGCCAGAAATCAGCATCCGGGACATGTTCTCATTCAGCCGATTGCAGCTACGCGATGTCACACACTGAACCGAGGAATTATAGTAACCACGCGCACGGGTGCGTCGTGTCAACGCCTGCGCTCACCCATTCACAGGGTTTACAGACAATATTTGTCTGCTTTGTCACCCCAACACATTAATTAATGTTTATGAGTGAGTGCAATGCTCAGAATAATTTCATGGGGTGACAGATGGAATGTTCCACTCCACAAGGTAAATCTGAGTAGAATAGAATATTCCATCCATTGCCGAATGTGAAGCATTGATTACTTGTTTTATACAACGCCTGAATAAGTTATTTATTCAGGGATTGCAAGATATATACTGATAAGTGGGTCATTGATCACGTGTCATTGAATTATTCCTCCCAATGGCATGGCCACACGGCAAAAAAATGGAAGTTCCATGCCACAGTAAATGGAAATTTCATTGCACGGTTACAGTTTTGGCATCTCTGACCGACGAGGATTTATTCAGGTGTTCCATAAAACACATACGGTAATGAATGATTTGTATTCATGCAATGGAACTAATTTCATTCAGTGACAGCTGGAATGTTCCATTCTACCTGGTTTCGTCTCTTTGAATGGAACACTCCATCTGTCACCTCATGAAATTATTCTTACCACTGCACTCACAAACTAGCCTTGGTCAAGGCGCTAGATGTTATTCTTGATCAAGGCTGTAACAATGGTAGTATCGAAAATGAAGACCCCTAAAACGAAGACCGAAGACCCACTAAAAAACAAAGACCTGTTTGTTTGAATATCCGTAAAAGAGGACAGGGATGATGGTGGGTTTGAACCATTCAATTCTGAGCAAACCAGAAAGTCACACACTATACACTCTTCCTCACATACTCATCTTAAGGTAAAATGCAAAACAACAGAATGTGACTGACACAAAATGATCACACCAGAAACAATTGTGAGATATTAACATCATGTATTTTAATATGAAACCTGAATGCAATCCATGTCTACTCACTCAGGCTATTGCTGGGCAAGTCCAAGAATTCACACACGCTACGTCCCACGAAAGTTTAACCCTCTAAAAAGCAATTAGATCAGTGTGTTTCTTAATGTATTCTGTTGGGCGTCTGAAAGGAGAAAACTGTACCTACACACATTTTTGTTATTCTTTGTGATGAAAAAGACATGGTATGCTACGTATGGGACCACAAGGGGACCTTTTCTTGGACTTGCCCTACTTGCAAAAACAGAAAGTTTTTCTAGTTATGTTTAAGAGTACTAGGCCTTTTAATATGTGATTACAGATATAAATGCAAAACCAGTCTATTAATTAAAAAATATGCAAATAAAGTGAAACTTTCAACATTTTCAGACTTTGCATGCAAAGCATAGAAAGTGAATTTGACACCACACTTCATTAACATCCAAACATGTCAGATTATTGGGTTTTTTTTATTATATTAAAAAAATATGAAAAAAATGACAATGCACCTAGCAGGTCAGTTGCTCTTGACTCGTGATTGATCGTGATTTGGAAAAAAAAGAAGAATAGCATTTGTTTTCATATTTCCTTTAGTAGTTACCCCCCCCCCTCCCCTGAATGCTGTGTCAAATCAGTGGTTCCTTCATCTCTTTGCAGTTTTTAAAACTGGTCTTCCCACCAACCTTTGCACCAATGTTTATACAAAATATAATAATACAAATTCTGAAAAAAATTATTTAAAAAAAAGTCACTGATTTGTGGTTGGAATAATCCCAAACTCCTCTTTTAAATGTCCAACATACGCACAAACATATTTAGGCAGCCTAATAACAAAATATAACATAAACATTCTTCAAAAATTAATTTATTTACAAAAAAGTCACTCATTGGTGGTTGGAATAATTCCAAAACTACTCGGGGTAATACTTAATTTTTTGAACCATTATACAAGCACAATTAAGCCACTTGGCCAATGAGTCTCCAAAAATATACTTTTATTTACAAAATATACATGTGTTTTCCATCTTGGAATAATCGCATAACTTCTCACTGTTTAAACTTCTCATTGTTTTAAAGTGATACATAAATACAACTGTTGTCAGGCCAACAAGTCTCAACTTGGAAATGGACCAAACCACCCATACAGCCTCAGAAATCAACAAATAATATATATCCACTGGGTTTTCAAATTAGTGATGTTTCCATGCACACACGAAGAGATTTGAGATCTACAGTAATTTTGTTTGCCACTTCAACAAGTTTCCAGATGTGGAATCTACACTTATTCACAAACGTGAGATTGTGGTCAACCAGGGATCTTATTTCAGACATGCAACTGGAAATTTAGAAAATTAAGGAAATTCCAAACCACACAAGACTTTGTACAGTATTTTTCAATGGCATTCCTGAGCAGTAAAAACCCAGGAAATCAGCGGATCCGAGGAAAAGTTGCATGTAATTATTATTAAGAAATAGTTCCAAGTCGGAGAATAGACTTGGAACTGTAGATTTGTGCAAGATTCGCCCCGTCCATTCTTAGCACGAATCTACAGTTCCTTGCCTATTCTCAATGACCCAATCAGCAAATTATAGACACTCTAAAAAGTCCCAGGTCAGATTCGATCCAAATCTGGGTCAGATTTGACCTGACACTTTTCCGGGTCAAAATCATGCTTGTCTTGGGTCACCTTTCGGGCCTTTTGACACGAAAACTGTTATTTTGACCCAGAAGAGTGTCAGTTCCAGTCTGTCCCGGATGCAAGGTTATATCTGACCCGGGACTTTAAGAGTGTCAGTTTGACTTTGATGACAAACTACAGTGTCATATGTAGAGGGTGAACAGCTAATTATCTTACACGCAGTGTGACCCTACTGACCATCTGAATCCAGAATGTGTTATGATGTTTATCTTTAAATTGCAAGCAGGCATCCTGGAATAACACATTTTTAATTATCTGTTTTTTGGAATTTGCACAAAGTCCCTGATTTTATAGCATTATTGTTTCAATGGTGAACAGCTAATTGTCTACATGCAGTGTGACCCTACTGACGATCTAATATGAGAATGTCTTACAATGTTTTGCCTTTGAGAATGGTCCTGCTTAGGATTGAAACATTAGGCCCTCTAAGTTTGTTAAGTTTTTTAACATTTCATTTTCTTTTATTGAGAATGTTATCATTTTTATGCCTTGTACATGTACATCGAGTTTGATTTTTGTTGTTGTAAGTAGCCACTTATCTTGCCAAGATGACTTTCATGTATTTTCAATATTTCTTTTGTAATTCTCTTTTTCTTATTTTACATAGTTACTGGAAGGGGTCTTATTTAAGTATGCATTTTTGAAGTGCAATTCGTATTATCTATGCTAATGTTGTCTCTTATTATTCTCATTGAAGCTTCATTGCAGGGAGGGGGTAATACGTTTTTGCTGTTACACAGTTTTTACTACATGGCCTTTTACTTAAATTCCTTGTTCGTATATTAATTAGTGCTATCCACTAAGTGGAATGATATCTGTGGGGGTTGTATTCATTGTTCTCGTAGTGCAATTCTGTTTGTGTTCAAATTGTGCCTGGAGAACTACTCGATGGATATTTAAGTTAACTTTTTTAGTAATTCTGCAGGGGTGCAATTTTCTCCTACATTGGTCATTCTAATTTCCATAATTGGAGTTTACTGTTTATAATTGTATGTGTGTTTTTTTATTCCTGCGAAAAGATAAATGAATGAATGAATGAATGAATGAATGAATGAATGAATGAATGTAATTCAAGAGTGGGCTTGGCAAGTGAGATTTAAAATAAAACCGTAAGTGATGGGAAGAAGGACTGTAACTCATCCCATCCTTTCAATGCTTTGTTGATTTGCAGATTCAACTCAGTCAGTCTGGGCATGTTACCTACAGCCAAGGCAATGTGTTTAATGTCTGACTGTGTCAAATTGCACAACCATAGGTCCAGCTTATTTAAGTGCATCATTTTGGGTAATTCCTTGGCCCACATGTCAGTGGATCCGCCCAATGACTTGTTGCCACCAAGATCCAAGTCAGTCAGTCTGGGCATGTTACCTACAGCCGAGGCAATGTGTGGAATGTCTGACTGTGTCAAATCGCAAAAGCTCAGGTCCAGCTTATTTAAGTGCATCATTTTGGGCAATTCCTTGGCCCACAACGCAGCACATCCACCCAATGACTTGCTGCCACCAAGATTCAAGTCAGTCAGTCTGGGCATGTTACCTACAGCCAAGGCTATGTGTGGAATGTCTGACTGTGTCAAACCGCAATAGTTCAGGTCCAGCTTATTTAAGTGCATCATTTTGGGCAATTCCTTGGCCCACAACGCAGCACATCCACCCAATGACTTGCTGCCACCAAGATTCAAGTAAGTCAGTTTGGGCATGTCATGTACAGCTGAGGCAATGTGTGGAATGTCTGTGCTCTGAAGTTTGCACCACTTTACTGTAAGTTTCTCAAGGCTTGTCAAGTGTTTGATATGAGGGGCCCATTCTACAGCTCTACCTCCCAATGTATTGCATTTCTCTATGTAAAGACTGGTCAAGAGATAGTTGCATTTCAGTGATGACAGGATTTTCTCAAGCTCACCCTTCACTAAAGGACACCAGCCGAGCCTCAGAACCCAGAGGTTTTCCATGTAACCCAGGGCGAAGGCTAAACCACTGACAGAAGACACAGAATCAATCCGAATGGTTTCAATGCATGACAGTTGTGCCACCTGGACTTCTGACCTACAGATCATTTTAAGAAGGTATATGAGAATGCGGACATCAGTATTGTTTTTCACCTTGATATCTGATGGGATGAGTGAGTCGCTGGTTAGACATTGTGGGATCTTTTTGGATTGGCTTTCAAAAAAACAGTGTTGACTAATTAATTGTATAACGTCTGATTGGTACATGGGCTTATGTCGATCCTTGTTGAATTTACGGTCAAGCAATCTAACAATGTCAGTCATGCACTTTTCATTGTTGCCACAACAAAAACGCAAAAGAAAATCATTTGAAACGACACCCTCAATTGTCTGACATAGTTGCCTTAAATTGTTTTGAAATTCTCCAAATGGAACAACTTTGTACACCGTACGCTTTACAAATCCCGGGTGTGACATATGTACACTTTGCAAGTATTTACCAGCACAGTATTCCTGAATAGTCTTGTGCATGAATTGTATGTTGTTGTGACATTTGAGGTTTTTGATAACTCTCTGCTGGGTTAGGATGCCTGCTTTCAGTGCCAGGTCCAGCGCATGTTGTTCAAACTCATCTTTTTGAAATGAGAAATTCTGGTCGGCACTTACGAATCCACTCAGTGCAGTTTTTCCTATAGCAATCACTGTTTTTGATGCATCTTCGGAGCTATATCCTTTTCTTGTGAACATGTAATCAACTGCCTCAGTGAAGAGGCGTGAAGTTGTTTCGGGGAGTTGTTTTTTCTCCCTCCACAACAAACACATGAGAAGGAGAAGCATTGGATTCGTGGAGAAATCGAGCAACGTGTTGGATTTTTCAATGTTTAGGATCAGTGCACTGCCACTATCAGGATCTTCGTAATAGAATTTCAGAATGTATTCATTAACATCTTCCTTGGTAAACCCAAGAACCTCAACATGTGTGCAAGGATTTTGGACAAGTGATTTTGACATCAGAGTCTCAAGATGAGAGGGGCGAGTCGAGACCAAAATGCAACACTTCCTGTATTCTGTTCTATTGAGCGCTTTTAGGATAGAGCCGAATGAGGCTACATCAAGTGTTTTGGTCCTCATTTCATCAAAACCATCCAAAAGTATCAAGACCTTATTTGAGTTGTCCTGAATATATAGATCAAGTTCATCTTTGGCTACTCCTGACTTTACGCCTAAAAGTTGATCAAAAATGGAATCAACAAGATCAGATTCTTGGAACAGGGCATACATCTTTAAAAGAAAGACAAGCTTGAATCTTTTTAGGATTTCACATGTCTCATGGGCCCAGTCATATGCAATCTTGTCAAAAATGGTTGACTTCCCGACACCACCAATGCCAAATAAAATAGCACGATTGAACTCAGTCTCAGGCCAATCTTTCAATATTTTCTCATACTCTGTGGAATATACAGTTTTGTCAGAGTATTCTTCTTCTGCAGTACCTTTCTTTGTTCTAACCCGCAATTTAGTGTAAATGCCAACAATGGGTCTTTGATCATCAGGAGCCCCAGGGTTCAACTGAACATAGCTACCCGTTGTCTTGTAACATGTCCTCAAAATGTCCCTGGTCTTGTTACCGACTTCTTGGTTGAGATCCCCCACTCTTGGTTCCTGGTCTGGTTTCTGACTCTGCGGATTTACTCCTATTGAGGTCAAACAAGCAACAAGTACATGTTATAGTAAACAGGAGGTCATGGGTTCGAGTCCCACCAAAGTGATTTTTTTCTCATAATCCCTGGAGACAACACTAAGTATAGTGGAATCCAGTGATCAGAATTAGAAGCTTTTACTGCGGTGGTGTCGCGCTCACGCGCATACTGCTTGCGTTCTTAAAGACGAGGCATGCGCGCATTTTGGTATTCCAATTGGTAGAAGGAGCCTGAAGTGTGGGTATACATACGTGAACGCAACTTGCGCGAGCCTTTTTCGACACTGCAGTAAATGGCTGCCGCCAGATTTGTCTTTACAGTGTTTATACAATACATGTATGTCGGTGGAGGGCAAAACCCAATATTGAATGTACATGTATTATTTCAGTTTAACATTGTTTCTGAAACGATTGAATAGTCTTCCTCTACTGAGGCAAACATGTAAAAGAAATGGTGACTTGAGATTTACAGATCGTTAGTAAGGCAGTGTAAAAAATAAATTTGCCCCCCTCCCACAAAAAATAATCGAATGAATATTTTGGCTTTTGTACCATCTGTTGGACACAAACTTGTCAGATGTCGTTTAATAGTATCTACACGTTTTTTTTACACTGACAAACAAATTAATTTAGACAATAAACTGGTAACTGCATGTGCAGGCCTCCAAAACTTGATTCCATTTTCCCCCCACTTTTTTTTCTTCTCCGTGTGACACACACAATACGGGGTGCCATTTGGTGTGGGTTGATAAAGAACACATTACAAGACTCCTAATGTGGTCACCATATCTTATTACAAACTGGTTTATATCGTAGCAACAAAAAATGTAGACTCTTTCGTGGAATTGGCAATCCGTCTTTTGTGTCCATGTTTGTGTAGTATATCATCTCCATCCCCCCTCCCCTACAAAATATACAATAATATCTGACCCAAGATATCAAGTAGTGTAACAAACAAGATCATATTTACCTGCTCCATCTGACGACAAGTTGTAAGTGACACTAACTTTACTTGAACCAGTAATGATAGGATTGTGGCTACCGATGACTATGCCCATGTTTCCGATGGCTCCAGCTCGTTGTGGGGAATCTATAATCAATAGAATTCAAACATCTGTCATACCCCCCAAAATTGCCATAATTTTAATTTGTGTATGACTAAAGCAAGTCTATTGTTTTCAAGGTGGTTATGCTGCCTCATCAAATTCCTTCTTCTTGTACCCTCTGTGGTGTTGCCCTGTGTCAGGCATGGTTCACTTGTATTATGTAAGACAATGTGGGGGGCAACAGCCTGGCCTGGAGTGATGGGTTGTTGGTGCGCGGGTGCGGCATTCCTTTCCTTGCTCTGGTGTAGAGTACATCACTCTCCTTGCTCTGGACTGGAATCACCGCTGAACACATTCATTATTTTGTAAACCCATCATTTTCCTGGCACAGGTAAGTTTTCCAAAATTTGTCTTCATTTAAGTATTTATTTATCATCAGTATTAGTTCATTAGTGAACTATTAGTTGTCTTGAGTATTTTCAGAGAATATTTATTTTCATTCTCAACTTCCTTGCTTGATGATGAGTCGATAGTTATTTTCTACTATGAAACTTATTTGAATGAGTTCTTTCCTTTGTACATATTTGAATGCATCTTTATGAGTTTTGTTATGAAAGTATCTGTAGTGGATCACTTCCATTGGTCCATGGATTCAGTATTTTCCATGAAAGATGTTGCTGATCTGATTGATTTATATTCCATTCGAATTGTTTGGAATTTCTGAATGATGGTTAGAGAAGATTGAAGTTGATGTAGATATATGTTCAACCTATTGCTTTTAACTTTTCAAGTTGATGCTGATTTATGATTTCACATCATGGGGTTGCTTGAACATTTTGAACTTACTTGAACTTTTCTTGCTTATTGATTGCTGAATAGTTATTTTATTCTTTAGATTAGTTGAGCATTTCCTTTTGATTTGATCAGATATAACTTGAAGTTTTAGATGTCTGATGCTTGTATGAATCGTGCCAATTCTGAATTATGACAATTCATTCATTGGAGGAATTGGTTTGTTTAATTGCTAATTTGCTATAGATTCGAGTTCTCAGTTTGCTCCTTTAACTGTAAGTGTATTTAGCCTATGATTTACAGGCGCGGATCCAGGGGTGGGCCGCGGGGGCACGTGCCCCCCGTCAAATTGAGTCCACAAAAAAAAAAAAAATAGAACAGGGGGAAAAAGAGGGGGAGGTGAGAGAAATGGAGGGAAGGAGGAGGGCAACCTTCTAACAAAAATACCGGCGCCGATATTAAACATCAGCGGCCTGCACACATTGTGTGGCCGTATGACACAGGGAACTCGAGAAGCTTCGAAATAAACCGCGATCCCACCGTACGTACTCCATATGTAACCCTGTATTATTGTATAGTACATCGGTTTATGAAATGCGATTCTGAGCGTATGTACCCGTACGAAAAACACTCACGTGTACGTGTGACGGCCGTTATAGTTTACTCTTTGGACCACACTATTGGTCATGGGGGCCAACATTTCTTCCACGCGCTTTCAAGGATCGAGTCCAAAACATGTCCGCTTCCGTATAAAATTTCCGTAGAAAATCTTATCTTGTTGATAAACTGAAAATTTAAACTCTATACAAAACATTAGAAAGCATCCTTGCAAAAGTTTACAAACTAAGTCTATACAATTCCGTTTCAAAAATAATAAAATGCACGAAAACATGCAGACGAACATGGTTATCAAGTGAAAAACGAAGAAACTTAAAACGCTTGTTAAAGCAAGAGTATACATTAAACCAATGAAAAAAATTGCTTATTTAACTTAAAACATTTTGCTCAAATAACTCCGGGAAAGAGGGGCCAGGAATCGCCTCAGATTTCACCACAGAGCATCTAATTATGTATCAAAAATTTCCCGGGGCCCTTAAGCGGGCCCCGCACCCCACGCCGAAATACATTCACGCTCCGCATTATTAGTCCTCGGGCCAGATCTCCCTACAAACAGCCTATCCAATTCTTTTTACAAAACAACTTGCAAGAAATTGATAATGCCGTCGAAAATACCTGGTTATCAAGTGAAGAACAGAAGAAATACAAGAGTACAATGTTAAACCAATGAACAAAAAATAAAGAAACACATGGTGTTACCGCAAACCGAAGTGATAATGAAAAAAAAAATCCTAACAATCTTCACAACATTTTGCTGCAATGGGGCCAGAAATCGCTTTAGATTGCACCACAGAGCATCTATAGAATCAAAAATTGCCCGGGGCCCTTGAGTAGGCCCGCGCCCCGAACCCCACGCCGTAAGACACTGCTCCGCGAAGACGAAAATACATGGTTTGCACAAATTTTGAAGTGCACAGTAGCTTAAAATTTGTAAAAACATTAAAGTATATTTAAAAAAAAAAATCCTCATAAGCTTAACAACTTTTGATCAAATAATTCAGGGGGAAAGGGGCAAGGAGTCGCCTCAGATTGCACCACAGGGCATCTAGAATCCAAAATTTTTCGGGGCCCTTAAGCGGGCCCCGGACCCCACGCCGTAAGGGCTTCGCGCTTCGCGCTCGCATTAGTCCTCGGAGCAAATGCCCTAAAGGTGTGCCCCCGTCTAAAGAAATCCTGGATCCGCGCCTGATTTAGCCAAACACATTTTTTGTATTATCACAGTCACTAGTCGCAGTTCTGCCACTTTAAGTTAGCCTGACCACGTGTGGGTCCAGCCGCTCTGTTATCTGAGACATTCTAGCACTGATCTTATCTTGTAATCGTGTGTGCAAGACTCTGTCCAGGGTCCAGACCAGGCCAGAGTGTGTGAAAGTTTTGGTTGACCTTGGGTACACTGTAGATTGCTCATTTCGTATGCACAAGAATTTACTGTTGTTTTATCATCATCCACCTGTTGTAGGCTGGTCGCACTGTGCTCGTTGTTTATCTTTTCTTTAGAACTGGCCTTAGGCTTGTGTTATGGTTATCTCAGTGTGAGCCCAGATTAATGTACTGTGGGAATAGTTTCAGTGTTTTGGTTTTAAGAAGGATTTTATGGATCTTCTTCTGATGACCCTAGTTATTTTTTAGGTTTAGTTTATAATATATTTTTAGTTGATACTCTTTTGGTTATTTTTTATAGACTTGTGTATAAAATAATTTAGTTAATTTCGATTCCTTTCCTTGCTCTGGTGTAGAGTACATCACTCTCCTTGCTTTGGACTGGAATCACCGCTGAACACATTCATTATTTTGTAAACCCATCATTTTCCTGGCACAGGTTCTCCTGCCGTTTGTCATTTTGGACGAGGACGAGACCTGTGCATTATTACTACTACTTCTACTACTTGTGGAGCTGAGTGATGATTTTCTGTTCCGCTTTCCTCCATGTCACCTTTTCATCTCATCACACCCCTGGCCGTCCCCTGACGGCCGTCAGGGGAGGTTACGTCCTTCCGGAAGTTGCAGTCGCTAGTTTCCCGTCTGCTGCAGTACAGTCCTTTGACGTCCCCGGATCTCCCCTTCTTCTCTGATGTTTTAATTCTCGCTCCGTGAACTTTGTTCTTTTCGTGAACTTTGTACTCGCGCGTTCGTGGACGTAACGGGATTTGAATCGTTGGTCATCGCTGGATCTGGACAAGACCATGGGAGACGCAACTGCGAACAACTTATCCTTTTCTCGCATTGTATAAATTGTTGTAATCTGTGCATTTTCATTTGTGTTTACATATCCACTTTCGTTGTTTATATTTTGTTTTGACTTCAAGTTTAAGAGTGTTTGAGTGATTTGAATTAAAAGTCATTTTTAATTCGAGCTGTAAATACACCTATTTCTGTACATTTTTATTTCTTTGATTATTTTGTCGAACTGAACCGGTTGGAATTATATCATTGGGGTTTTCCTAACTGGAATAGACCCCGCGACACATCCTTTAAAGGATACCGGCAAAATGATTCCTGTACTTTAGTACATCTCCAGTTGTCCGTTTTTGGAAGGTAGAATAGATCATTTGTCAGGCCAAACAAAAAAAATGGTGTGTTTACGGTAACAGCCTGAAAAAAATCCAGGTAGGTAGGTAGGGAAATAATTTTATTTGTATTTTTTTTTTCATTTCAGTTCTGCATGCCCATGCGTGTTCTTTCGCAAAAAAAAAGGTTTAAAAACATTATTCAATTATTCAAGCATTCAAGATATTCAATCGATACATTTCATTCCAAATTATAAATTCGTACCGTCCCAGGGTTCTCCCCAGGATTTTTCAAACCTGTGGGGGAAGTTCTGCTACGATTCAACAACCTGCGAAGCCATGGCATGTGGCTTTGAACTTTGGGAGCTCTCTGGTGCATTTTAGAGCAAATCTGGGGGGTCTTTAACTTAAGATTTTCCTTAAAATTCAGAGGAGATCCTGTAGGCCCCTAATATTTTTGTAATGAAAAAAATCAAAATTGTTAACTTAAAAAAAATCAACATTTCATAACCTGTGTTTAGCTTCCTGAACTAGAAAAGTATGGATTACATTTACAAGTAAGTTTCAAATTAAGAAATTAAGGTGAAGAAAAAAACACTTTTGCTTCCGATTACATGCCTTTCAAAATAGCGTCGGTAGGTCGGAAAATTTATTTCACCACTTTTGGGGGGGGGGGGGGGGTGCTGATTAATGGGGAATCATGATAGTATTAGTATAGAGCAAGGAATCATGTTTATTTTGTGCCTGGCCAGCAAAATTGATTAAAACTTGCCTCACCTAATTAAAAACAATTTGAGGTGGGTGATTTGGCGTAAACACACCATTTTTTTGTTTGGCCTCATATTTGTATTTGTTTCTTTTGAAGCAACAACAGTCCTCAAAATCTAAAGATGGGTGCTCAACAACTAACCTGCTGAACTTTCAGCTCAGTGAATGCTGTATATTCTGAGAAAATCATTTTTCAGATCTCGATTTCAAATCAAAGTTGCAGAGTCTTGTTTTGAATTGATTGCAGCCGATTGCAGCGACGCTATGTCACGCACTGACCAAACAAATAATAGCAACCACGCACGCATGTGCATCGTGTCAATGCTCACGCACACCCATTCACGGATTCACCCAATTACAAACCAACTACTAATGGAAATTTCCAAAAATTGTTCAATTCCCAGTCTTTGGTAATGACTTCTTTTAATGTCTTCTTTGTCCAATTACTATCTTTAAACCAAAGTAAGCTTTCAAAAAATAATTTGGTCAGTTACTTTTTGGATAGCTGCAAATGATCTACTCTACCTTTAAAGAAGATACATGTATATAGGGAAATCTGATTGTCCAAAGTTGAAACCTGCAACTTCAAAAAAAATCTTGGGGTGTGTGCGAGTGTGTGAGTTGAGTGGAGAGGGGGAGTTAATGCCCCTCCCTCCCTCATTGACCCCATGCAAATGGTCTAGCTACTAAATGTACTCACCTGTTGTAGCTGAGGGGGTGGGTACCTGTGCCTCCTGTTGCATCGTGGTAGGGACATCAGTCTGGCAGGCTGCTTCAGATTGAGCAGCCATGGTACTTTGGATCACCCAGCCACAAATGGAAGTCCTGTTTGTCAATGATAAATGAAACGTTGTAACACACTGGTCTTCATTCCAGCTTCAATCTCATTCTTTAGCATGAAAACTTGTACCTACAAACCATTTATGTTTGGAATAAAGACTACAGGGAAATTCCACACGGAAGTGGACATGGCTGACAAGTGGGAAATTTATAAAATCTTTAGAGCTACATGAATCACAAGCTCAAATGTGATATGAAATTAAAGGAAACAACAAGACCTTTTATTTTAATGGTGTGCCAGTGAGTTGGAATTGGAAAGTTAGAGACTGCACCAGAATAATTCACAGTTGACTATCAGTCAGTGAGATCAGTAAACTGCAACTGAAAAACTTCTTAACCCTAACAATCCCCGTCCAGTCAAATTCCTACCGCAGGATTTGTTGGAGTCTGTTGGAGTGAGTACTGCACTAGTAAATGCTTTACATGGGGTGTATAGTTATACCACCATAATCAGAGTCCAACAGTTTGGGTGCAGAGTTTGCCATATAGTGTTAGAATTTGCAAGAGTGAGGAAGGTTCCTAGTAAATCACTCAAGGGGTTTAGGGTTACACCTGACATTTAATACAATCCATGAAACCAAAATAAGAACCCCAAAACAAAAAGAAATGAACCATTGTTCTGGCAAAACTTACAGTTGAGTTCGTAGCAGGTTGATTCAGAGACGTCCAAGCATTACAGCCCTGTACATGAAGCTGCCGCACCCAACAATCCCATGACCACTTGACGGAACTATATTATGCAAATCAATCCCTCAATAAACCTCCATATATGGCATTGACTCAAACTTTACAAAAGTTGCAAGGTCATGATTCACAAGTGCTTTGAAATTCTGTCACATGCAAGCAGTTTGCATCCAATATGAAACAAAACATTGCACTATCCATATTTGTCCTAATAAGTCTGGAGAGTATCTTAATAAAAAATAAAGGCATTTTTTTTTATCCTGGAAACCCCCGCGCATCGATACAAATACATAAACCAAATTTGTCCCAGCAGGCCTCCAGAAATTGTGTACATCTGGGTTTTCCCAAAATGTTTTATTGTCAACAGCTAGCCTGGAGACAAGAATGGACAGTTTTGTGTGGTCTGCTGTCATGCAAAGATCTACAAAGTTGACGGGTCAATGGGTGACCTTTCTTTTCAAATGACGTGATTTCATGAGTTCATAAGTGCTATTTTTAGCTCAGCATCTATTCAATGCAACTTAATTCACTTTTGAGGCCTTAGTCAACACCTATGTGTATATGGACCTCAACAGCTTGGTTTACAGCAAATGCATATCTAGTGTAAATCTTTAATACCGGCATTATGAGAAACTACACTCCGAAAGTCCTCCCTAATACGTTTTTGTCTAACTCAAAAACAACTGTGCAAATCTTGCTCAAATTACAACTAATCAGTAGAGAAATTCCTTAGCAATCCAGTCAAATTCTTTATTTGGCCCAAAATCAGTGTTAATGGGTACAACATAATGCAATTTGTGACAAATGCTACAGAAACAAGTTTCACTTTTGACATTGTATACGTGCAAGGTGAGTGTGAACCACAACTACGGTAGCACGTGTACAAAAGTGCAACTGTTTTTCGGTATAATTTGTCATCAATTGCATAATTTCTTACACATTATCACTGTTTTGAGCCAAACAAAGAGTATGGCTGGATTGCTCAGGAATTTCTGTACTGATTAATTGTTATTTGAGCGAGAAGTCAGTAGTTTTATGAGTTAGACCAAAAAGTATTGAAGGGGGGGGGGGGGACTTTCTTTTTGGTTGAGTGTATGATACAATGCAATTCGAAAGTGCTTGAATAAGTATTTGCAAGTAGGCCTACATCCTAAAGCTGGCACTAATGTATTGCCCGATTCTATAAAACCATCAGGCCTTTTCAATAGCCAATCCGACAGTCCAATTAAATTGTTACAAATATATTGAAAAAAAAATCTTACCTAAATTTCATCTTCAACCTGTCACTTCCTGCACAGAGCCCTGATGCTTTCACCAAGAAATCCAGCCGCAAATTAAAGACGGACATCAGTTTTAAAACGTACATTTCAATTTCTCAAGTTGGAGAATCCAGCGGTTGAATAGCAGGAGGTCGTGGGTTTGAGTCCCATCAGCTTGCTTGCCAAGAGTTTTTTGATAGAATTCTTGATGTCACTAGCATTTTTTTTCCTTTCTTTAATGGGTAATTTCTTTACGCCATCTCGATTCTTCATAAGAATAACTACGCAAATCATAAACAAACAAGAAATTAGGGGAGCCGATGGTATAGGATCATCATTTCTTAACCCTAAAAGGGCCTGGTTATTTTGACCATCTCTCAGCGAGGGGGGGGGGGGGGGCGGATTCCGCCCCCCCCCCAAGATCTCGGCCATCGAGTGACAAAAAATTTTGAAACTCAGTACAAGCATGGAGCAACTCTTCATGGTTTTGGAATTATCGCTAATTAATTATTCATATGTATGAATGGTAATTCTGGTCTGTGTACACGACGTATATATGGGAAAATTCAGTTTCACGGCACATAGCGCCGGAAAATTTTTCGCTGCACGACAACCCCTGGTCCGATTTTTATATTTTTGGTGTCAAAAGATGCGTAAGGCTCGAGGCTAAAAAGTCATAACAGCTTGGGTCGCGAAAACATTTTTTTTAAAGGCTATCGCGGAAAAAGTCAAGGGGGGGTGGATTCCAAGCCCCCCCCCCCCCGGCCCTTTTAGGGTTAAAGCGATTTGGCATTCTGGAGTCTGGACAACGGGCCTCCAAGATGGAGGACAATGGGCCTTTCATGAATTATGTCTTTTGGTTTCCTGCTCAGTGCCAGGTTTCACGAAATTAGGAAGGCTCCTTACGAATAATATACAAATATTGACTGCCTGGAGTTGTGTAGTAAAACTAGCCTCCCGAGGTGATCCATGAAGCATTCTATTTTTCCCGAGGCTTCATGGATCACCGAGGGAGGACAGTTTTACTTCACCAAGAGATAAAGCAGTCGTTTTTTGTTTTATAACACCTCTCCCACAGATTATGCTTGATTTTACATGTAGGTGATAACTGATTCATTTAATCTGAATATAATAAAAATTAACTTTTATTTGAATACAAAATTAGTTGAAAATTAACTTGCACTTTTTGTAACTACCCCTTCGCGAAATGTTTGAACCCCATCTGTAGTGCATGCTTGGAAACAATATGCGCACATGCTTGGAAACAATATGCGCAACGGGCAATGCGCAAAGGGCAATGCGCAACGGGCAATGCGCAACGGGCAATGCGCAACGGGCAATGCGCAACGGGCAATGCGCAACGGGCAATGCGCAACGGGCAATGCGCAACGGGCAATGCGCAACGGGCAATGCGCAACGGGCAATGCGCAACGGGCAATGCGCAACGGGCAACACAAACACCCCTATGGGCAATTCCACGGTTACTCACGTAAAATTTTCGTAACGTGAGTAACCGATTTTGTGTGTCTTGTTTATCATACATAACACACTTTTCTGGATGCCATCTTTGGTGCTTAGGTAGGTCTAGGTCTACTCTATCTACCATGGGGATAACAGTTATTAAACCTTTTCAGTAAGGTAATTACAGCGCAAGGAAACTCAAAAGTACATCAAAAATGTAACGTGAGTAACCCTGAAATTGCTCCTATATGCATTTTTGCACACAGTGCGTATAGTACTTTGGTTGCTATGGGTATAGTACGGTACTTTGGGTGCTATGGGTACATACAGTACTTTTGGCCGGGCACTGAAAGATAGCAAAAATAGAAAGTAACATGTGACTCGCTCTCGGCCAATCAAGACACAGAATCTGTCGGCGAGGTGTTATAAACTAAGATATTAGGGTTCAATGACTGCAAACTGCAAGCCAATAATGTCATCTGGGTGATTGCTGATGTCTATCAGGAAAGATTAAAGATTGAAGTTTAATATTGTAGTAATACTAGTAGATTGTTACTTGCCAGTGAAGATTTCATAGCCAATTCGGAATGTACTTTGCAGCCAATAAGTTCTGTTGATTTACTGAATTACTTGATGTCAATGTGATTAATATTGTTGATATCATTTAATTAAAATCATTTCAAGTTTATCAACAGTGTAAATATGTGTCTCTGCCACGTATGTTTGTCCCTTCTACTTAGTTTGTGCGCATGCACCAAAATCTCAGCTAATGCCAGTGACTGTCGTGCGCAAGTGCATTTGCATGAACATACGAGCTGCATGAGCGAGCGTGGATGGACCGCTGAAAAAAAGCTTTGTGTCAACAAATGACAAAGCAGGATCTGTTTTCCATCCTAAATAAAAATACAAATGAGGTCCCTTGGAATGACAAGAAGGTTTAAACTAACTAGTATCAGTGTTTCACAATGTCAAACTACGGACCGGTACATGTTAATTGAAACACACATAATGCAACTTTATCCACATCTGGAGTAATTACCATTTTGGTTGTGTGGACAATTCAGGGTTTTTTTTGGGGGGGGAGGGGGGGTGGGGGAGGGAGAGCGGCTAATTGACTAATTGGCATGGCTCAAGAGCATAGTTTAAGCAAATATGTACATTCCATTCAACTATTTAAAAATCGTTTTTTGGAAAAAAAAAGATACAAAGATAAACTGACTAGGGGAATTATAACAATTTTTGAAAAGTTGAACAAAGAAACTGACTGGAGCTTGAACCCACAACCCCCGAATAATTATTCCGGTGCTGTACTAGCCTTGGTCAATGCTCTCGTCGTTATTCGTCCCGTACGCGGTCAATCGTCTGCATACATGGCATATATACTCACGCGCTATGCACATGTAAAAATACAGCGCGAACAGCGACCTCACGCGGCCACTATTTTTATGCAAATCAGTTGGAGACGATGTCGAGCCTTGGTTCAATCGTCCATGTGAGGTTTTGGGGGTGGTGCTCATTATGTTAATAGCCTTAGCTGACCTTAAATGTCGTTTTCTTATTGGTCGATCGTTGCGTGGAAACTTGCATAGTGAACGTGGCACCGTACATAATCCATACACGAACACATTGTGTGTCTCTGCACACGGCACCAATGCACAAAAACTGTGGTTCCTGTCACGTCCGCAAAAGGCGAATAGCTGGAAATAATTTGATGACGTCCGGATTTACCAAGGTGTGATTGGACACTCCACATATTAGCCCCGCCTACATTATCTGTATTCGCATACGAGGTCGTGCGCTGGAAATCTAGCGCAAAGTAAAGAAAAACATAAGCTTTGGCCGATGATTGAACCAAGGCTCGACATCGTCTCCAACTGATTTGCATAAAAATAGTGGCCGCGTGAGGTCGCTGTTCGCGCTGTATTTTTACATGCATGTGCATAGCGCGTGAGGATATATGCCGACGATTGACCGCGTACGGGACGAATAACGACGAGAGCATTGACCAAGGCTAGTGCTCTACCAACTGAGCTATCCAGCCCTATGTTGGCAATTGCCCAATTTGTCAACATCTTTGTTCAAGGGATGCTAGTCAGAAGCCATAAACTTGTATATGCCATGCAGCCAGGGATCACGCCCAAAGTCATAAAACAGACCCGGGAAATGGTTATTTGGATATCGCAGGTTTAAACCCTGCTCAAGTCAATTTCTCTGTTCAACTTTTCAAAAGTATAGTATAAAAGAAAAAAAAATGGTGTTTTTTTCTAATAATTGTAATTTCCATCGTACGAAAAGTAAGCAAATGTCCCAACAATGACTGACACCCCTAGTGCAAGAATGTGGTCCAAAGCGACATTTACTGAGTTCAGCTGAGTTGAGTTGAGCATAAGTAGCTTGTGAAGAGATCACGTGCAGTGCATCGCAAAATGTGTGAGTGTGTGTGACATTACGTCTCTCGCTGAGCCACGTGTGTTAAGTAATTTGGTGTACGTAAAATATACGTGTCATCACTTTTCGTAATATTGATGACTAGGGAGTCCTCTTTTCAGATCACTTGCTGTTTCAAATGAGTGCAGGCAGGCCTGGATTTGTAACTTACATGTATATAGACAAAGTCAGAAAGACAAACCCAGAAAAGTGAGATCAAGCTTTGTGAATAATCACACAGAAACCTGTTTTCTAAATATGTTTTCGTGACCTTTTCATGATGTAAAGATTTGACTTTATGTTCAGTGCTGTAAACTGCTCCTACTTCTTCCAGCATTGGCTATTATTTTTATAGTGGCAGGAACCATACATCCTGCATGTACTGGTACAGTGCATGCTTTCACCTAGGCAAAGGAAAGCTTGCAAGTCTTGTCAGAAAACTGAGTTTCAAGTAAACAAACCTTTCTTTTGAAGTAAACAAACCAATCTTTTTTGTGGTGGGGAAGCTGCTGAGAAGCATGTTCATTGAAACAAAATGGACATCTATGTCCATTTGTCCACTTAAAAATACTTCATAAAGGAATTTTTTCAGAAGCACCAGATCCGCGATTGCATGGTAAGAAATTGCAACGTATTTTGCAAATATTCGATATATTGAACATGAATCGATATTGAAGATATACTGGTATGTATCAATAAATCAAAAATTCCGATACCATACAACCCTGGGAGTCAACTTATTCAGAACAATTCAATCAATTACAATCACACATTGTACTTCAAATTCATTACTTCAAATAATGCCGTGAATTTCTCAAGTATTGATGGTACTCACCATGTAGCGATGAATTGCAAGTGTTAGTTTCGAAGGGTGACCTTACTTTGACCTCCAACAGGACCTCCAGGTACGTCACATGCTGGAATGATAAAAAAAACAAATCCACAGGACAATTAGATGCAAGATTCTGGTAGAAATGAACAAAAGATATGGGAATGTTTCCATTGTGTATTATCGTACACCTTATCAAACAAGAAAGATAATATTGTTCCTCACTTTTCACACTTTTGTCGATTTGGAAACAAGAGATTAGACCACGAAATGATTTCAAGAATCCTCATACATGTGTTATACCCCAACTTGGTTGTCGGACCGAGCTTATGTTGAGACTGTACCAATGGGCAGGCCTAACTTGGGTTGGGCACTGCTACTCAAATATGGATGTTAGAGGGCACGCATCGGGCGTACACGATGACCACATCCACGGCCATGTGCTGCAAAGTGTCATCAGACAAACTGAGCCATTTATACAACAAGGCTACCCTGGAAGTTGCTGTAAAAAGACGACATGTTTGATCTGCCTCTGAGCTCCCAGGCCCGGCCTGAGCGTGTGCCCTTGGTCCTCCCATCCGGACAGTAGGACCAAGCATCCTACATGTAGCCCTGTCCCAGCCAATCCTCATCCCAAGGGCCTACT